ATAATTTAAATTTCAAACAAGGTAACAGATTTCATTGATGGTAACAATTGATAACAAGCTATAAGACCCTGACGATGAAGCGTTTGCTTAGAAAAGCTTCGGTGTAAGTTTGTTAATAAAATGTAAATTTTTTAAAGAAATTTTACATTATTTCTAGCAATCGGCTACACTCCAAATTCCAATTATTGAAGTTGATAGACAAAGCTATAGACAATGAAGAAAAAAGCAAATGAAGCGATAGACTAACAAACGACAACTTACAAGAGCGCCTGTAGGTAGTCCATCGTTTCCTCCCTTAGTCTATAACAACCACTCATTTCAATCAAAAGGCTCACTCAATTATCCCTTTGTCTATCGCTTTGTCTATCAATTTCAATGATCAGCCAGCAAAAAAACCAGCTCGAAATCTAGAAAATCTTATTGGAACCAGCATTATAGTCGGTTTTTCCGCGTTTTTAAAGAAATGTGCAGAGTGAGCCTTGCTCTGGAACCCATTTGGAAAAATCCAATTGTAAATTGGAATTAATTTTGCAACATGGAACTATAATTAATGATTTTCTTTGTAAAAACTATTTAAAACCTGAGAAAAAATTCTGTTATATGAAATGAACTACATTTTGAAATGTATTTATTTTCATTTTCAACGGGCGAACCCGATTACAAAAAACACAGCAATGCAAAGGTAAACAGTAGAAGACAGTAATATGAAGACCAGTAGAATGAAAACAACATAAATTAAAGAGAATGAGAAAACAAACAAGATGACAGAAATTAGTTGAAATTAGTCGAACACAAATGATGCGTCCTTGGCATGGCTCTTAAAATGGCAATTTAAAACTAAATATTTGGGCTCAGTTTAGAAACAACGTCCATATGTACTGTAAGTTTCATTATGCACTAAAGTGTGTTCACGGATGAGCCAGATATTGTAGTTCTTAATCGCAAAATAAAGTCCAAATATAATTAGGCTGATTCTAGGTAGTGATATCCACTTACGGAATGCTAAGATGGGTAGGTGGGAAATCTTACCAAAAGGTGAAGGGAGGAGGGTCAAAGGGAGGCAAGGCATCAAGCAGAGTTACACTTTTCCCCCAGTTTTCTGAAGTGTTTCTCCTCCCTTCTACACTTCATTTCGGGGATTAAGGGGGGGGGGAATCAAAATCGAAGAGAAATGTTCTTTTTTGGTAAACGAGAAAAATAATATTTCACAGCAACCCCAATCTGAACAGTAAGATCATGTTGTTTTTTTTTCATCTGTGTCGTTTAAAAACGAGAAAGAGTCAGAGTTAGCATCACGTAAATTATTAGGATGGGTTTAGCATCATAAAGTAGCACAAGGAAGTAAAGGAAGTCAAAATACCGTCGTTCAGAATGATCAGGGGCCTCTGTGGCAGAAGAAAACAGGGCTGCGCGAACAGTCCGGATTTCCCTCCCCAAAACCTGAAAAAGTCCGACCAAAAGAGGTAATTTTCTAGGATTTTAAGAATTTTTTACCTTCGGATACCCTCGTGAAAACACTTGATTTGCTTCTTGAAAATGATAAGGGCGCAAGAGGGATGTCGAGTTGTGCATTTTAGTGTGGCTTGATAGCTCCTCTGAGTTTTTCTGCTTGCCCTGGTAACAATTGGCGATAAGAGCTGCGTTTCAAAATACCATAGGAATTCTTATAGCCGGCTAAAGAAGGCTACAGAAAATCAAATAGCTGGCTGCAGGATGCGGAGAAAATCATACGGCCGGGCTATACGAGGCGATGAAAAATTATGCAGCCGGGCTATTGTTCCTACCACCGGGCTTTACACTTTATCGCCTGGCTGTTGCTTTTTCGTCATCGATTATGAAAGGCTATAAGAAATTGTGTAGAAATTCGTGTGCTTTGGAAATTATTAAGTTTGATACGGAAACACTTTAATATTTACAAAACACACATTATATTTTCCTTTAATACATATTTTTTTTCATCAATTAAAATGAGAATAATCCATACAGGATGTGCAAACATTTCAAAATCATGAGTTGAATAACGCTGACTCCGCCAGATTAAATATTAGAGCCTAACACAAAGCGGTACGGCGACGCACTGGCGCCTACAAACCTAACAGGGATACTTCACGCATTGCGCAACGCATGAAGTATCCCTGTTAGGTTTGTAGGCGCCAATGCGTGTTTCGCGCTGGCTGCCCGCCTGCCACGGCGCTTGAAGCAACTATTTCACACCAGAGGTATTGCACAGTATCATACGAAACTGAAGCCGCTCTAATATATTAGTAATGGCAGGCATCCTCAAAAGTACGGAGCTTTCCTCGCAAAATTAATCAAGATACTACGGCCCAAAAAGAGAGCAGTATTTCAAAAACTCACTAAATCCTAGCATCCGTAATTAAGTAGTAACGTTTAGCATACACTTTATCGCCTGGCTGTTGCTTACTTGCCATCAGCTATAAAAGGCTATAAGAAATTGTGTAGCCGGCTATAGAAGCTATTGGAAATCTTACAGCCGGCTGTAGGTCTATTATGGTATTTTGGAACACAGATTCTACTGCCAATTTTTACCAGGGTGAGAAAATAAAATCAAATAGGCACCTGTGCTAAGTTAAAAGACTTCAAGTTTGACCGCAACTTTTCAAATACATTTTTCCGTGAAACTTACAATTAATCTCGCACGGGCATTGTTACTGCAGGAACGTGTGAGTAGACTTATTGTAATACTGATTGGTTAACCAAAAGGATATGTCTTTTCATTATCATATGTCAGGTTACGATATGTAAAGGGTTCTGTACCTTATTTTTAAAGAGCTGCTATGTTCCAGGTCAGCACTCAGTAGCGAAAATCCTTGTCTCGACTTTTGTATCCTGTTTACGCGCGTGTCCCTTGCAGCCCGAAAAAATGAAGCCCCCTCCCTTACAAATTTGCAAAAATATTTAGATTCTTGGCACCCTTTGCTTTTGTCTAGCAGAAATCGCGGTGAAGTAGTCCAAAAAATACCTCCTCAATCCGCAAGCAGGGGTGCATGAAAGTAACAAGTTGATTGATATCACACTGAGAAAAAACTATGGTTATAATTACCATATTAGTGGTGTTCAATATGCATTCTTAATTGGTAGTGGCCATAACCAATAATAGTGATATTTTTACTGGAGCAATCGTAATTTTACTAGTGTGCGGTAGTAAAATTACCATTTAATGGTAAACATATCTCTATTATTGGTTATGGCAACCAAACCACTAATTAAGTGTTCATATTGAACACCACTAATATGGTAATTACACCCATAATTTTTTCTCAGTGCACACACCGTAAAAGTGCATATAACCATAGGTTTATCTACTTTCATTGGTGTCGAAATATTTACACGATATTGACGAAACGAAGGTCGCAAATGAGCATGAATCATGTTGATCATAGGTTTTTTCTTTTCTCCTTTTTAAAGGTGATGCCTCTAACAGTATTTAACCTCACTTAATGGCAATCAATCAGATTATTTAACCTTCAAACCACGATTAACCGACCATTTCAATGGCTCTGCTGAATGACGTCATAAAATTTTATATGGAGACCCCTCCTGTCTTCGACCTATGATAGGTGACGTACGTGTGAAATTTCCACCAAATGCGAAGCCTGCCCCCCGCCCTTCTCCGCAGAAGATCGTATCACACAAGTAAGGAGAGAGAGGTCGATTCTGTACCCCTCCCAAGAACATTCTAAAGCCCCCCTCCCTTTTCCCGCGAATTCTTCGTAGATGATAACAGACGTCCCGCAGATTTTCCGCAGACTCCCATTCCACTTCCTATTTCCGCCCCCAAAATTCCGATCAGCTCGTTCACTCGAGCACTACTGACCTTACATATCTCAAATCTGTCTGCCTCAGTCAAACATCGCACACTCCTGTGTGCAGTTCGCGAAAACAATATGTGATAATTTAGGCCGCTTTGTGCATTACCAAAAAGGAATATATACAAACAAAGGTATTTACTTCTTCAGGAGTTCTGTTCGTTCAGATATCACTTAGGGAATAGGACTTCATCTTTCACAGAATTTTTCCTTTTATTACCGGGATTTTCAGGTTTAGCCGACGATCTTCTTTACTATTATGAGGGGATTACTATGATTTCCTGCCACAGTAGAGTATTGATTCTCATTCTTGACCTCATCGTGAAATTTTTGGAAAGAATTAGCCGTGCATTTGTTTATTTTTCCTTCTTTTTATGATCTCAATATTTCTTGGACTCATTAATTCTTTATATACGCTGGAGTTATAAGCCTGTACGCTTCTCTTATCTCGTTTTTGGAGGCATATTTACCGTGATGGAGGGTAAAAGGATGATTATCATGGTAAAATTTACCGATCCTCTATTTCTAAATATTAACATTTGAAAGAGTACTTTATAGACCTCGGCAGTCCATCCTCTTCTATCGACTTAAGTCGGCCGACTTTAGCTATGACGTAATCAATTAAAACTTCCGTACTTTGCTTGAAATTGTAGCATACTTGTGGTAAAAATACCAAACCAGGTGTCTTCATTTACAATTTTGCAGATTTTCCGTTGTATTTTACTTTTGTGAAAAATAATTGGACTGCATTTTGCAATGAGCATCTTCTATTCCTGACTCATTTTAGAAACAATATGAGTGCCACTAGTTTTCCAAAGCAGATAAGTGCCTCTACAGATGATTCCAAAACTGTAGTTATACTTATTAGAAAATGCATTCCAACTAATCATTGTTGTGGGCAAAAAGTGTGTGCGGTTTTTCTTTTCCCTTTCAAGGATATTCTAGAAAAATGTGCGAAAATATCCAGTTGTACTCTCTCATAAAAAAAAAAAAATTACACTTTGAAAGAGCGCGATCGACATCCACGTTCTCGTAGTTTTACTGTTGATATTGACACTATATAGTTGCATTAAATTGAAGTAGTTTTAAGTGCTTTTTCTGAATTTACACGCAGAGGAAACATACGTTCTTGCTTTTTTTGGGCATTATTTTTGTTCCCAGATGCGAGTTGTCTCCCTCGTGTGTTTATTGATGGTCCCAGTTCATACTTTAACACGAAAGAGAGGGGAAGGAAAGCAAGAACTGAACATGAGGCTCAAAGGGACCGCATCGACGACCACTGGTGAGACGAATTTCATTACAAATTATTTTTATTGCACAAATCGTGCTCTGCGTGAAATTGTAAAGAGGATGTTTTACGTGAATTTTTAAAATCAGAATGTTTAAATTCGCAACTTGTCTAGTTGAAATTTGCCATTGATATTTCGGACTCCAGATAGGTTTTGTTTCTCCCTGCACCTGGTAAACAATTAAAGTCCTCTCTTTGCAGACTCAATGGAGAATTTGCACAAAATTATTTTATTGTTTCATCTGAAAGTGCCGAGTGAGTTCAGTTTGCAGTATTTTTCATAATGTTTTACTGAAATGGGGAATTGTAGAAAAGTGTATTTGAAAGTGAGAAAATGTGCCGCCTTGTACCGTCATCTGGCAGCATTTTCCTTTTAAACACGTGTATTTTAGCAGATTAGGTTATTTTGCCATATTTCTTCCAATAACTGTTCAATTCAGAACTGATGAATGTCCTCATTGCACATCTTACATCCTCCTGTGATAAAGGTGAAAGGCGATTTAACAATGTTTTCATGTGTTTTTCGTGTGTTATTCGTAGACATGCTAGTTTAAATTGTTACTGCCGCATAATTGAAATTTTTGTCAAACTTAGCTTCTTATCGATTTTACCGTGAGCCGCCATTTTGTTTGTTTATTTACGGCCGTAAGAGCATCATGAAGCCTAAAAACTCGTCGACCAATCGAAAAGCGGAACAGTTTTCCTGTAGTAAAAAGATACGAATGGACATACTCTGTCTGTCTATAAAGGTATACTCTCACTAATTTCAGTCGCATCCGTGGAAAAACTCCTATCCAACGAGTCCTCGCCGTTGGTGAATCAAACGACAGGGGCGGAGTCCCAACTCGAGTTCCAGATCAACCCCACGAAGCCCCCGTCGGAGGCGATCTCGGGTGCGAGCAGCAACGTCAAGTCCCGTCTCTCCGACTTCGACAAGCTGAGCATGTCCGTGGAACAGAGCATCGAGGAGGTGAAGAACCCGCTGCACGAGAAGCAGGGCTACTTCCCCAACATCCTTTCCCCCTCGACCTACGTCCAGATGCAGCCGGTCAAAAGCTCCCACGTCAAGCGTCAGAAAGCCCACGAGTCCAAGGGAGGATCCATGCCGCGACCAGCCCCGGATCAACAGTACTTTCCGTCGCCTGAGCCCGGCCCACCCGACATCAACCCTTTCCAGCCTGAAATCAAAGGTACTTTTATCAAATTAACTGGAAAAAAAGAAAGAAAGAAAAAAACTCCGGCCGTGGAAACCGTAATACGGGCTATATAGACAGATCGTCAACGGTCCGAAATGGACCACTAGACAAGGCACGAATTTCAGCATTCTGATACATGTTTCATCATCAAAATTTCACGTAAAACACGACGGGCACAACGAAAATGACCGAAATCAACTCCTTCCGAAGATATTTGATGATTCTCGGTGCGTGAATTGAAACCACCCGCCCATGAAAACTCAGTGCTCTACGTGACTCACATCGCGCGCTAAACGTTATCACGAACGTCTCTGCGATAAAAAAAAATCTGGCAACCTCAATATTGACGCTTTGTCTCAGCTATAGCAAATTACTCATAGTTTGAAAAAAACATGGTGGGAAATGAACATTGCTTGATTGAGAAGCTTGCTGAAACCGTTGTAGTGCGCGATTTGACTCACGTAGAGCTTTGAGTTTCTTGTGAGCGGGCAGTTCAAATTCCTCGTAACTAATGTGAAATAAAAATGTTAATATCTCCGTTAGGAGTCGGTTTCTGTAATATTCGTTGCACGAATCGTGTTTTACATGAAATTCTGGTTGAGAAACATGTATCAGAATGCTTAAATTCGTACATTGTCCAGTGGTCCATTTCCGGGTGCTGGAGCCGTAGCCTCGAATGCTCCTGGTGCTACGCCCGGAAACGGCCTCTGAGCCCGGAATGGGCGGTATGTCTACATGGTCTACAAGTTTTTTTCAGCGCATGGATTTGATTCGGAAGTATCGACGACTCTGTACAAGGAGAAAAAAGCCTCCTGCGTGGGGCCCAAATTTCAGGTTTTATGCTGTCATGCTGCGATAAAACGCCGCGCGCCGTTTGAACATTCGAGAGTTGCCAAATTTTCCAAGATTAATCATGTATTTCTTAGGAAAGTTACTCATATTTTCTAGAGTCCCTTTATACCCAGAGTTAAGACAACTCACTTTTGGTTCGGCTGAAAGTGGCCTAAAAAAAAATCCAATTCTGATTGGTTCTCGCTCATGGAGGCCGAAACGAGTGCACCAAGATGGCGGTACCTCGAATGTGAACAAGAATAATGAAAATATCACCTAATTGTGGTTTATCAAGAGTAAATTGT